TTTCTTTCTTTCTTTCTTTCTTTCTTTCTTTCTTTCTTTCTTTCTTTTTTCTTTTTTCTTTCTTTCTTTTTTCTTTTTTCTTTCTTTCTTTCCTCTTTCTTTCTTTCCTCTTTCTTTCTTTCTTTCTTTCTTTCTTTCTTTCTTTCTTTCTCTTTCTTTCTTTTTTTCTTTCTTTCTTTCTTTCCTGTTTCTTTCTTTCTATCTTTCTTTCTTTCTTTCTTTCCCTCCTTCTTTTCCCCTTTCCTTCAAATCATAGAGCTGGAAGAGACCTATGAATACTTCTAGTCCAATTCCTTGTCCAGGACAGGAGATTTTCCTTCCTTCCTTCCTTCCTTCCTTCCTTCCTTCCTTCCTTCCTTCCTTCCTTCCTTGTCTGTCTGTCTATCTATCTATCTATCTATCTATCTATCTATCTATCTATCTATCTATCTATCTATCTATCTTCTATCATCTATCCATCCATCCATCTATTCTCCAGGCTTCTCACCTTGGTCTTTGCTTGGATGGGTGCTCCGTGATCTAGCAAGATTTCAGCAATTCGCAGATGCCCGTTGCGGGCGGCACAGTGTAATGGGGTCAATTCATCCTGTGGAAACAGGAGCACTTTAAAAGGCGTGGCATGAATAAAATACCTATTTTATAGGCTTTATACCCTGCGATGCTGTTCTTAGCACAACAACTGAGCGCTGTTGGAAGCACCTAGCAATCTTGAGCGAACCCCAAAACAATTTAGCCGTGCCAGTTTTTTTCTCGCAGGGAAAGACCCCGAGAGAGCCCCGGAATGTCTAAAAAGGAGAGAAAACATTCTAGAAAAAAAGCCATTTTCCCATTGTTGCTGATTAAATTTAACATTTAACATGGTAGAATCTCCAGGTGACTAAAACTGGATGCAGTATTCTAGATGTGATCTTACTAAGGCTTTATAGAGTGGTATTAATACTTTACTTGATCTTGATTCTATCCCTCTGTTCGTGCAACTTAGGATCGTGTTGGCTTTTTTGGCCGCCGCCGCCAACTTAAGAGATTCTTAGAGATCTTGTGTGAATATACTGACACTTTTCTTTAGCTTCCCATCCCTGGCTTTGGTGAGAAACAAAGGGCCCCACGGAACCCAAGGCAACCTAACGAAAACTACGTTGTGTTGTTGCAACACAAGCTCTGCTCCTTTGGTCCCTGCAGGTAGCACCACAACGCACATACAAACAGCCTAAACTGCAGGTGTTCCTTTCCTCAGTTGTCCCTCTGGATCTCCCTTGCCAACATCCTTGCAAAGGGTGGGGCTGTTCTGCTTCTTGACAAGCTCTCTGTTCCATTCTCCTCCACGCAATCCATCCGGTTGGCTCCCTTACCTTGGTGCAAACCTCGATGTTTGCTCCCCGGTCAAGCAGCAGCCGCACCATTATGATGTTGCCGCGTCGAGAGGCGATGTGCAGTGGGGTGATGCCATTCTAGGGGGGCAGAGAAAGAGAGGGAAGAAATGAGGCGAGAACTCTGCCCGGAAACTGCAGGAGCCTGGGTGACCTGACGGCCAGAGTACATTTTGGGGTTGCATGTTTCTTTTTGGGCAACCCAACTTGGCACCTGAATCCGTTTTGGCTCTTAAAAAAAACAAAAAAACAATAAACTTGTCTCCTCCCTAAAATAAAACCTATTGTTTCCCATATAGCAGCAAAAGAAGTGATGTAGAGATCTGTGGTGGCGCAGTAGTTAGAATGCAGTTTTGCAGGCTAACTCTGCCCACTGCCAGGAACTCGATCCTGACCGGCTCAAGGTTGACTCAGCCTTCCTTCCTTCCGAGGTGGGTAAAATGAGGACCCAGATGGTTGGGGGGAAATAGGCTGACTCTGTAAACCGCTTAGAGAGGGGCTGTAAGGCACTGTGAAGCGGTATATAAGTCTAAGCGCTATTGCTATTGTTATTTACTCCTTCCCTGCTTGACGAAACCAAAATCTCCAAAAATCAACACAAGGTCTACGAACAGTAGCTCGCTCACTCTGATGTCTTATATCCGCTGCACTCCAAAGGAGGGAGGGAAACTGTTTTTCTGCACACAAGGACTTAGTTACTGATATTTTTTAAAAAGTTTTAAAAGTTTCAAAAAAGAGCTTCTCTCCCGGTGTTCTGTTCTGGACTTGGGTTTTTCCCACCCTACATGGGGATAAGACTCAAAGCATCTTTTACAATGCTGTTTTCCAACCTGTTGGGAAAACCCCAGCCTGGCAGGGAAGAGAGATCATACATGGAGTTCGTTTGAAGTCACTGTGGAATTACAAAAGGGCTAGAACTGACCCACTCTGTAAGTTCCTTGAAGCCTTAGCTAATTATTACCAAGGCTAGGTTGCCACACAGGGCAGATTCTTGTAGTATAGGCTCAACATAATAAAGTAGTTTGTTTGAGCTCTGAACTCAACAGAGTTGAGCCACTAGACTATAAATTGAGAGTAAACGCCACTCCTTACTAGCACTGATGATATTACTTAGTTTGATAATGAGGTCTGCAAAAAAAACCAACAACAAAAACCAAGCTCAGAGAGTACCAAGGATTCCTCATTTCAACCCTGAATTACAAATATTCTCCTGTATCAATAAAATAGTTAGCTTAACCTCTGTAGGTGTGGGTTGTTCGTGCCTAACACACCCCTTGGCAATTTGAAAGTGAGTGGACTTCAACTCCCAGAATTCTCAGCAAACGGCTCTGCTGGCTGTGGGAATTCTGGGAGTTGAAGTCCCTATACCTGGAAATTACCACGGTTAGGAAACTCAGTTCTACAACATCAGCACGGGCTCTGCACGTACCTGGGGGGTGAAGTTGACGCTTGCTCCACGGTTGAGTAGAAGCTGGGCCACGTTGAGATTCTCGTAATGTGCTGCGATGTGAAGAGGGGTGAAGCCAGTCTGTAGGAGAAGAAAGAAGGGGGAGCAATCAAACACCCCAGGATCTCAGCCAGTAAGAAATGGAGACCGAGTGGAGCAAGTGGCCAGTTTTTTAAGTTTCTGGGTGTTACCCTAAAAGAGGACCTGATCTGGGGTGCTCGCATTGCAGCCCTGGTCAAAAGGGCCCAGCAGAGATTAGACTACCTGAGACTTCTCAGGAAACAACAGTTGGATGAAAAACTGCTGATGACCTTCTACCGCTGCACCATAGAGAGTATTTTAACATACTGCACCTCTGTATGGTTTGCCAACTGCACAGTGGCAGCGCTCCAGAGGGTTAATGTCATTGCCCAGAGGATCACTGGTTGCCCTCTCCCCTCTTTGGAAGAGCTTTGTAGCTCCTGCTGCCTTAAGAAAGTTCAAAACATTCTCAAAGATCCATCTCATCCTGGGCACACACCTTTTTTTTTGAACTACTGGTGTCAGGCAATTTCTATTATGGCTGTAGTTACATGTTTCTCCTTTAGGGAAATATAATATTCTGCCTTTTTAAATATTTCCCAAAATACTTCCTTCTTCTAACAGGAGTTGGGTGCTAACTTTCTACAATTCCGTGCAAGCAGCAGATGCACACAGATAGCTCCATTTTCATGAGCGGCGAGGACTCATGCGTGAAAGTCCATGCCACTCGTGAAAATGGAGGTGTGCTCACACCTGCCTCTTGCATGGCCCGGCTGCAGCTCAAGGGTTGGGGACCCCCGTCTTACAAATGCCCATGAACGCTTCCTTCAGGGGTAGGATGCTACCGGTTCGGCCCGGTTCTACAGAACCGGTAGCTCCGAAAAGCAACCGACACTGAATCGGTTCGGTGCGACAACCTTCTAGTTGTCCGTTTGGCCCACCTGGGCTCTTGGCTGTCCTTTATTTCCTGTTTTTTCAACCTCAACTGCTTTGCGTGGCACAGCTGAGGTTGAAAAAGCAGGAAAGAAGAGGCTTTTCAAACACTGCGCACCCGCGCACAGCGCTCGTCAGTTGTCCGGGCGGCACAGCTGATGTTCTTTTGCAAATGCTGTACACACAGGCACAGCGTGCGTCAGGCGTGCGTGTGCACATCACGTGTGTGCACGCTCAGAACACACTCTCACCGAATTGGCAGTGACACTGGTTGAATCCCACCCCTGACTTCCTTCCACCTGAAAGTTTCTCAACTCCACAGACCAGCGGTGGGATTCAAAAAGTTTGACCACCCGTTTGGTGGGCATGGCTTGGCGGGTGCACTTGGCATGCGTACACACACTTTGTGTGCGCATGTGCACCAAATGCACAGTTTGCACAGGCGTAGAAAAAGGTTAAGCACTGAACACCCTATCTTGGCAGTGTCTTCTCTCTCCCTCCCTCCCTCTCCCTCTCTCTCTCCTTCTTTCCTTCCTTCTCTCTCCCTCACTGTCTCTCTCTCTCTCTCCAACTCGCCTCCTGCAAGCCTGCACTGTCCCGGTCGCTACAACAGCTGCCGCGGGGCACTCTTCTGTGCCACACAAAGCAGCTGAGGTTCAAAAGCCAGGAATAAAGGTGAATATGGGAGCCTGGGCAGGTGGGTGGCCCAACAGCAGAGAGGTGGAGAGGACGGGTTCACTCTCCGCTGCTCATTGCCGCTACCGGCTCTGTAGAACCAGGCCGAATCGGTAGAATACCACCATTGCCGCAGATTAAACAAACAGAACGGTAGTCAACTCATCCTTGGTTTAACCTGTGTAAGAGGAACAACAAACCCATGTTTCATTGGAATCACCTCCTCATTCAACAGGCTAAGGGGTCATTAAATCAAGGATTTTGTCCATTAAGGTAAGCTTTTACCTGCAAGGGAGGCCATTTGTGTTAATTACATAATTGAGGGGATTATGTAAACCGATTCAAAAGACGTACGTTCAGATTTCCTTTCTCCCCCACCCCAAATGATCCATTAAATTCAGATTCCACTATAAAACACCAGACTTTCTTTCGGCATTCTCTTAAAGGAAAGAAAAAAACTGTAAGGTGACTGAATGTACACAATAACACACCCCTCGGTCCAGACTAATGACACAGAATTGCTTTGTTTGCTTAACAGGCTCTGCCCACCCCAATAATCCACATTGATTTCATGCGATAAAATTTCACGTCAGCCCGTTCTCACAACAGGCCAAGCCCAGAGAAGAAACGATCTGATCACATTTCAGTCCAAGTTAGTGCACCACCTTTAACATGTTAACCTCACACTTGGCTCATCAGTCATTTTCCTGCTTTATAGACCAATTCAGCAGGTGAGCTAACTCTTCCGGATAGCATATAGCATGTATAGGCTAAACTATGAATATTTCTTATAAACTCCACTCCTCTGTTCTATTCTATTCTGTCATTCTATTCTAATTCTATTCTATTCTAATTCTATTCTATTCTAATTCTATTCTATCATTCTTTATTCTATTCTTTCTTTCTTTATTCTATTCTAATTCTATTTTATGATTCTCTATTCTATTCTACCATTCTATTCTATTCTATCATTTTCTATTCTGTTTTCTTTCTCTATTCTATTCTATTCTATTCTATTCTATTCTATTCTAATTTATTCCATTCCCTATTCTATTCTATTTATTCCATTCCGTATTCTATTCTATTTATTACATTCTCTGTTCTAATTCTATTCTATTTATTCCGTTCCCTATTCTATTCTATCCTATTCTATTCATTACATTCTCTGCTCTATTCTATTCCATTCTATTCCTTATTCTATTCTATCATTCTCTATTCTATTCTATTCTATTCTATTCTATTCTATTCTATTCTTTCATTCTCTATTCTATTCTATTCTATTCTATTCTATTCTTTCATTCTCTATTCTATTCTATTCTATTCTTTCATTCTCTATTCTATTCTATTCTATTCTTTCATTCTCTATTCTATTGTACTCTATTCTACTCTACTCTATGTTCTATTTTCTATGTTCTATTTTATCCTCTATTTATTCCATTCCATGTTAAGACTAACTGATAGAACATACTTTCCCCCCCAAGTAGTCCCAACTAAAGCCTGCCCCCCACAAATGCCCAGGATCCTCCCCTTCCCATCCTGACCCATGGATCTCCCTAGGTACGGCCAGCTGACCTTGGAAAGGACATCGGCGTTGGGGTCGTTTTGCAAAAGCACGGCAGCTGTTCGCGTGTCATCGTTGCGGGCAGCTATGTGTAACGCCGGGAGGCGCACCTTCCCCTTCGTCCCGTAGTTAATCAGGTGGGCCACCACATTTTCGTGGCCCTGCTGGAGAGCCACTGCCAAGGGAGTAAAGCCATCCTGCCAGAGATTGAAGAAAGTAAGAAAACAGGCAGAGACCAACCGTTTTGACCAAGGCTTCCTGAGACGCTTAGTCCAAACAATTCTTGTTTTATTTCAACGCTGGGAATTATGTTCATTCCCAGCCCGTAAGGAGTCCCAAACAGTCCCTCAAGATAAGCACTCATCTTTCTCTCCTTTGAATTGCTGCCAACAACTAGCGTCCCAAATGAACTATAGAAAACCAACTGAAGTACAAAGTCCACACAGAGCTTCAAGGATTAATCTGAACAGAATGAACAACCTTGCTTCCTGCAAAGGTTTCTCTACCTTTGCACTTCCTTTATACCCTGGGGGAGGGGCAATCACCTCCTAGCCTTACTCCCTTTTGTCTGAGCTATTCTTGCCTTCTAGCAGCTCTGCGCACACGCGCACTGGGAACAGGCTCCCCTGGGTCCTCTGCCTCACTGCTGCCAGACTCCAAAGGCTCTGGAGGCAGCACCCCACTCCCAGATAGTCCTGGCCTCATCTCTGCATTGGATGCAGGACCCTCGTCCAAGTCCTCCCAAGACTCCTGGACTGGTCCCCATTCTTCCCCACTGTCTGATTCCACTGCCGTCTGCACGGGCTGCTGGCAAACCACAATACCAACCATTTCAAGAGACTCACTGATTTAACATCTATTTCCAGAAATCCCTAGAAGGCAAGAGGGATCATCCTGCGCCCCTCAGCCCTTATTTACAAAAAAAAAACAATTATGGCCAAAGCACCATAATTTTGGAGACAAAAATTTAGACACGTTATGCAAAGATAGGAATAGAGTGAGGGGAACTGTGTGTTTTCCTCACCCTTCATCTGTCTAGCTGATGTTTTCATTGGACAAAAACTTATAAGTAGAAAGATAGGAAGAATGATTTAAACCCAATATTTACTAATATGATTCTTGGGGCCAAAATACGGAAACAAGGATTAAAAATCTGAGCTGGAAGCCTTTGAGGATAAACCTACAGCCCCTTCTCGTATAGCGAACTCAGTTAGTGACTGTATTCTCAAATATGACGGTAATAAATGATAACCAAAAAAATTATAATCATTTTTTGGCCAATACACCCGACAACATAGTCTTCATTGTGAAAGTGATTAAGCTCTGGTCAGTTTCAGGCAGAGGCGCCAGCTGACGGGACAGTCCTAACCAACTAATTAAGGTCACAGAGCAATTAGTGCTTTTTAGAAGCTGCAGAGAAAAGCATCTCAGGAAGAGTTTAAGCTGTCTTTCTGCCCTGCAAGGTGGCCAAAGAAGGAAAAAGAAAAAAGTTAAGCACAGAACACCCTATCTTGGCAGTGTCTTTTCTATCTCTCCCCTCTCTCTCCCTTTCTTTCCCTCTTTCTCTCTCCCTCACTTTCTCTCTCTCTCTCTCACTCTCACTCATTCTTTCTCCCTCTCCCTCTCTCCCTTCCTCCCTCTTCTTCCCTCTCCCTCTCTCTCCTGCTCTCCCTCTCTCTCTCCCTTCCCTTCCCTCTCTTCCTCTCTCCCGTTCTCTCCCTCCTTCTCTCTCCTTCACTCTCCCTCTCACTCTCTTTCTTTCTCCTTCCATCCCTCCTTTTCCCCCCCTCTCTCTCCCTCTCTCTCCCTCTCCCTCTCTCCCACCCACTCTCTTTCTCTCTCATTTCACTTAATGGCCAGTTGTTGCAATGGAACCCGATCACTGAATAAGAAGAGGGTGCGTTAACTCTCCAAAATCTCCAGTTCTTTTCCTCCCCAGCATCGCCGTGTGACTTCCTATGGCCTCCAAGCAACACAGTGGCAGCCTCTTGCTGCGAAGAGCTGCCTTATTTTTAGGCTCCTTGCCATATTCCTTGGCGGCAAAGTAGGCACCTGACCCTGGGCTTGCCCGATTCCTTTTCCCACATCTGAAGTGCGTGTGTGTGTGTGTGTGTGAAAGAGCAGAGAAACACCGGGTAGTGTCAGAAAAAATTCCCCTGCTAATAATCAGCTTCTAGTAGCCACAAGGTAAACAACATATGGCAGAAAGAAACAAGAAGTGAGTGGGCTCGAATCGTGTATACATACACACACACACACACACACACACACACACACACACATATCGCATTCACGTTGGACAGCAATGGCATTCAAGGGAATTCTGTCAAGGTTGCTCATCCGAATTTGTTCTTTTCTCAAACTGCCAACTGTCTGTGAATTCTTTGTGGGAGATACTCACCTCTGTGGCTACGTTTTGGTTAGCACCATTTTCCAGCAAGAACTTGACAACTTCCAGGTGATTCTCTTGGGCGGCCATATACAGGGGCGTGAAGCCTTTCTGCAAAGAGAGAACCAGCTGTGGGACCTCAAACACCACACAAATAGCACAACCAACACAGATGAGGAGAGGCACTGAGAAATTGCAGGAACCAGGCCTGGCTAGTCTAGGGAAGAGAAGGACCAGGGGAGACAGGATAGCCGTCTTCCAATATTTGAGAGGCTGCCACAGAGAGCAGGAAGGGGGTCAAGCTGTTTTCCAAAGCCCTTGAAGGCCAGACAAGGAACAATGGATGGAAACTGAACACGGAGAGATTCAACTTGGAAATAAGGAGGAATTTTTGTGACAGTGAGATCAATCAACCCATGGAACAGAAGTTGCCTTCGGAAGTTGTGGGAGCTTCATCACTGGAGGCTTTCAAAGAAGAGACTGGACAATCATTGTCCAAGATGGAATAAGGTTGAGACAAGTTAGAATCATAGGATAACAGAGTTGGAAGGGATCTTTGAGATCTTCAAGTCTGACCCCTCCCACTCAAGCAGAAGGCCCTATGCCATTTTAGACAAATGGCTGTCCCATCTCTTTTTGGGGGTGGAGCGCCCACAACTTCTGAGGGCAAGCCATTCCATGGGTTGATTGTCCTAACTCTCAGGAAATTTCTCCTTAGCTGTAGGTTGCTTCTCTCCTTGGTTCCTTTCCATCCATTGTTTCTTGTCCGGCCTTCGGGTGCTTTGGAAAATAAGTTGACCCTACTCTTCTTCGTGTCATCCCCTCAAATATTGGAACACTGCTATCCTGACACCCCTGGTTCTTTTCATTAAACTAACACGCATTCCTGCAACTGTTGGAACCCCTTGTCTTTGTAGGAGCCCCTCAAATATGGGAATACTGCTATCATGTCTCCCCTAGTCCTTCTTTTCTCTAGACTAGATATAATAGACAATTGTTCAATTGTCTGCAATTGTTCTTCATATGTTTTAGCCTCTAGCCCAGGGGTGGGCAAACTACGGCCCGCGGGCCACATCCGGCCCGTTGGTCTGTCCGATGCGGCCCGCCCCTGAAAAAAAATCGCTGCCATTGGTCTGTCCAATCTGGCCCGCCCCTGAAAAAAAATCGCTTCGTATTGCCCTGTGCCGCGTGGCCCCCAAAGCTGCAAAACAGTGCGGAGCGATCTAGGGGTAGGAAAGAAAAGAAATTTGCAAAGGCCTCGGCTGGGAGTTCGAAATCACCTTCGAGTGCGACCTCTCCGAAGGTGAGTCCCCGCCGATCCCCCCTTTTTTTTCTGGGGCTTCCAGGCTTAAACTTTGCAAAGGCAAAGCTTGCAGGCTTTCAAAGAAGAGACTGGACAGGAGGAGCGGGAAGGGTTCCACCTGGCGGGCGGGGCGGGCTGCTTGGAGCCACCTAAAGCTAGGCCGCTGCTGGTGGAGCCTTGCCCTGCCTTGGTGCCCCGTTTCCTGGCTCGGCGGTCCTGCTCGGGCGGCACTTTAAAAGCCTGCTCCCAGCACCCGAGCAACTTCCCAGCAACTTTCCGCTTCGTTTTAACTCGCGGGCGCTTGCGCCTGGCCCCGAGCCGCACGACGGAGAGGAAGCCCGGCGGGCAGGCGGGCTGCTTGGAGGAGGCGACCCGGCGGCGCTCCGGGCTTCCCCTCCGCCATGTGGCTCGGGGCGAGGCGCGAGCGCTCGGGAGTTAAAACGAAGCCGAAAGTTGCTGGGAAGTTGCTCAGTTTTCCGGGGCTTCCAGGGCTTTGCAAAGGCAAAGTTTGCAGGCTGGAGCGTCTTCCCGCCAAGGAGCGGGAAGGGTTCCGCCCGGTGGGCGGGGTGGGCTGCTTGGAGCGGGCTGCTGTGCGGCTCGGGGCGAGGCGCGAGCGCCCGCGAGTTAAAACGAAGTCGAAAGTTGCTGGGAAGTTGCTCGGATTTCCGGGGCTTCCAGGCTTAAACTTTGCTCGGGCGGCACTTTAAAAGCCTGCTCCCAGCACCCGAGCAACTTCCCAGCAACTTTCGGCTTCCTTTTAACTCGCGGGCGCTTGCGCCTGGCCCCGAGCCACGCGGCAGAGGGGAAGCCCGGCGGGCGGGTGGGCGGACTGCTTGGAGGAGGCTCCGGGCTTCCCCTCCGCCAGGCACAAGCGCCTGCGAGTTAAAAGGAAGCCGAAAGTTGCTGGGAAGTTGCTTGGGTTTCCGGGACTTCCAGGCTTAAACTTTGCAAAGGCAAAGTTTCCAGGCTGGAGCGTCTTCCCGCCGAGGAGCAGGAAGGGTTCCACCCGGCGGGCGGGCGGGCTGCTTAAACTTTGCTCGGGCGGCACTTTAAAAGCCTGCTCCCAGCACCCGAGCAACTTCCCAGCAACTTTCGGCTTCCTTTTAACTCGCGGGCACTCGCGCCTGGCCCCGAGCCGCGCGGCAGAGGGGAAGCCCGGCGGGCGGGCTGCTTGGAGGAGGCGACCCGGCGGTGCTCCGGCAGCAGCAACAGGCAGTTTCGCCCGGGCTCCGCTCAGGTGTCTGGCTGGGGCTGTCAGGAGTTGCTACCGCCGGCGCAGCTCCATGCGGCTCCAGTCCCACATTGCCTTGGGAAGGAAAAGGCAAAACCAGGAGCCGCTGAGCCTGAGCCTCTGGTGCCGCTGCTCCCGTTGCAAAGCACCACCGTGGCTCTTTCTTTTTGCCTTTCCCTTCCCGAGGCAACGCGGGACTGGAGCCGCGCGGAGCCACGCCGGTGGTAGCAACTCCTGACTCAGGGGGCCTCCGAGGGGAGGGGAAGGAGGAGAAGAGGGGGGGAAGGGGGGGGCGATTCCCAAAAAATCTTGTGCTGACCCGGCCCGTCTGTCAAATTTTAAAAGTCAATGCGGCCCCCGAGCCAAAAAGTTTGCCCACCCCTGCTCTAGCCCCATAATTGTTCCTGTTGCTTGGACTAGAAGAACTCCAAGGTCTCTTCCAATCCTATGAGTCTATGTTAGAAGGCCTGAATAGGACTGGAGAAAAGTTTTAGTAGTCCCAAAGGTGCTTTTTCAAAAGACAATTAAACTTTCTTGTTTTTTCTTTGAAGACATTTTGCTTTTCTTCCAAGAAGCTTCTTCAGCTCTGACTGGATGGTGGGGAACGGAAGGATTTATATTCCTTGCAGACATCTGGTCATTTGCATTCTTTCAGAGGGTCATTGAGGCCACTTGGAGGTTTATCTGTGTCCTCAGGGTCACCTGAGTAGTGCCAATGTTGCTGTAGTCTGCAATTTTTCCTCTGGGAATCCATTCCTACTCCCACACCATTCAAACTACAGGAACCAGGGTCACAGATAAACCTCCAAGTTGCCTCGACGACCCTCTAAAAGGATGCAAATGACCAGATGTCTGCAAGGAATATGAATCCTTCCCTTCCCCACCATCCAGTCAGAGCCGAGGAAGCTTCTTGGATGAGAAGCAGATAACAGATAATCAGAGTTGGAAGGGACCTTGTAGGTCATCTAGTCCAACCCCCTGCCCAAGCAGGAAACCCTACACCATTTCTGACAGATGGGAGTCCAATCTCTTCTTGAAAGTCTCCAGGGATGGCGCTCCCACAAACATCTTCAAAAGAAAACAAAAACAAAAAGTCCAGTTGCCTCCTGAACAAAAGCCCCTTGGCCTGGATGATGGAGAATCTCTACAATGTTTTGGTAGGTTTATTTAGCTTTCCCTTCAATTGGCCATCACTGCAGAAATTTTAAAATTTAAACAGGGCTTCTGGTAAAACATCCCACACATTTCAATCTCCGCTCTGATCCCGCAGAGCCAGGAAGGAGGGAGGGGACTCAAAGGAAAGGAACTCCAGAAGCTCTAAATGCAAAAAAAAAAAAAAAAAAAAACAACCCAGCAACAATAAAAACAAGAGTTCTATCAGATGATGAAATCAGGTGCCTGGAATCACTGTTTACTCATCCGCTTAGCAACAAATATATATATATATAGATAGATAGATAGATAGATAGATAGATAGATAGATAGATAGATAGATAGATAGATAGATATAGATATAGATATAGATATAGATATAGATATAGATATAGATATAGATATAGATATAGATATAGAT